ACACTGCTCTGCTTCTGCTGTCATTTCAGAGTGCTGCCAGCCAGGTCAATTGTGGCTCCATACTCAGGGCATCCAAGTAAAATGTGACTCAGTAAGTTCTGCTGAGCTGAGCCTAAAACCTAGGGCACGAACCTCTTTTTTCCATTAAGAACAGTACTTGCCATAGATACTATCCTCGCATATCCGGTTTTCCTCCGCTGTACGTGCTCCTTCCACATTGCTCTCCAAAGGGGTGATGATGCTCCCTTGACATCCATGCTGTTCTGGAGTGTGTTGAGCCAAGAAACATGAAGGAAGGAGATGCCTCTTGCGGTTGGAATGGAGCTCAGAGGAAGCGAGGCTGATTTTAACATCAGGTTTACTCCTTATGTCTAGTCACAGCTTTGTTATGGGCATTTCGTGGTCTTTGCTAACAGTATTTCATTGACAAGAACGTGTCTGATTCTGTTCTCCTCCTGCTGCAGATCGTAAAGGAGGCATATCCTGATCACACACAGTTTGATCAGAAGGATCCTCATTATGATTCCACCAGCAGAAAAGAGAACCCCAAATGGTCCATGGTAATGTAGTAAACAAAATACCTCAGTTTCAATATGGGTGCAAGTCCAGCTGAGTTAGGAGCTTCCTCTCATGATATCACAGATGATCTTAAGTGTCTGTCCCATCCTAGGGCATCTCCTAGGGCATCCTTCCCTCTCCAGGGCAAATCCAGTCCCGATTGTTTTGTCTGCCTTTTCCCCTGCCTTTTCCCCTATCTCATTTACACAGCTGCCAAAAAGAGTTCTCTAAATTTTCAAATGTTACCTGGATTGCATAGCTGTGCATTAGGAAAGGCAACATCTTTAAGCACCATTCTGGGTCTACAGCAAACAAAGCTGTAGTTTTGAGGCCAACTAAATTATAGGGAAGCGCCTGTTCACAGAGTGGTTGTAACCCACATGTTTACTTTTTACTGTTTGTGGCCACATGAATATATGTTGTTAGTAGACAGCGCTATGATCCATGTAAACAAGTGGCCTGCCAGAAGTGTCTGAGAGCTCTTGCAGCCTTGAGCAAGAAAAAGCTTCCATACGACGTCTTCCATAAGACATCAATCATTTATTTCAGTTTTAGATCTTCATCCCCTCCCCTCCCCAAGGCCTTTGTGGCATTCAGAGGCCATATCCTTGTCCAGCCCTGCCAACTGTGCTTCTTTGCTGCCCATTGCTCCCCAGGTGGATGTCCAGTTTGTGCGGATGACAAAACGTTTCATCCCCCTTTCTGAAATCAAGGCCCAC